TTGATGAAGGAGCTGTGGTCTGGGGCATAAACAACGCCCTTTTTTCAAGGATCAGTTCCCCGACCAGGCTCGATGAGATATTATTCTCCTTTTCTCTGCACAAACACGTCGACTCCCCTCAGAGTCAGTGGCATTTCCAGAAAAACGAGAGAAAATGCGCCCTGTGCTTTGTGAGAATAGAATGTAATTAGCGCTATCACGGTGCAGGGCACCGCTTTGCATGCGCGTGAGCACGGGCCGACATATAGACTCATCCTTACGGCCCATCAGGCATTCCCAGCGCTGAGACTCTTATCACGTTCAGCACTCTGGTGAATCCACTTGCCTCCTACCCATCATGCAATTCTCCTAAGGAACAGGATTCTTTTCACACAGCTAATGGCTACCAGAAAAGGAACATTTTCATTTTAATTACACGTTCAGCTCGAGGGTTCTTTCGGTATTCCCACACCTCGTGCCCTTTCATCGTGCTAAACGATGGCCGATCCTGAAAGGAGAGCTTTAAAAAAGAGCACACACTGTTTCTATGTCAGCTCCAATCCCTGTACAGTATGTGGGGCACGGCTCTCTGCTTTTCCCATTAGGTGGCAGAACAACTATTTACAAGCCAGCTTTTTATTGGCTTTGAAAGGAAACCTGCGGCATCTGTCTCGTCTCGGAGAAGTAGCCCGGACAACAGTCGCAGGCTCGAGCAGGGAATGTAGACCCCACCTTCTCCCACTGAGCTTTGTCTCCCAAGAGTCTTTTATTGTTCTCCAGATTTTGAAGGATTCGCACGCTCGCAGATAGCTACGTTGTCCTCTTTATTCTTGTCGTTTTGCTGCATCTTGAACAGAGTGTCTAGAGGATGACACTTGCTGAGCTCCTGCTGCCTCAGCATGTGGTGTCTGCTCGGGAAGGACGGTGGCTCCATTTGAAGGTTCTGGAGGGGTCTTTGTCCCTGTTCTCTGTTTCGTGGGCTGAGAGGAGTTTCATACTGTGAGATCAGATGGCGTCTATCTTTGGCAAGTGGAGTGATGGCTACCGAGCGGGCTCAGAAACATGACAGATTTACAGAGACAGCACTGCAGCTCCTGCCAGTTCTCACATATTTCTGCACCAGTTTCTGAGGGATGCCGATCCGTGCGCGGCTCTAAAGTGCACGTTAACACTCTGTGTTTTAACCCTTGTTCTCTTTGTGTTTTTGCAGCTGAAGCCAGGGCAGAACAACTGCAAGGACAGCGACAGTGAGAGTGTAAGCGAAGAGTCCAAGCCTTCCTTCAGGAGCAGCTCCAGAGACAGACTGACAGACGTAAGAGCACCAAACGAACACACCTGCTGCTCGCCGGCTGTCACAGCTGTTTTTATAGAGTGCAACATATTTCCTGCATATATGCAGATGGTCATTTAATTACAAGCACATATTAAAAAGGCATTTACCTTGAGCTGTAAAGCTACGATCTACCAGCTTTACAAAATGTTTGTGGTTCTGATAATATTTCTGTTTAAACAGATTAAACACAGCAGAAACTGTTTAAACGCTTACGTGTA